GGGCCCCATGAGTTGTCAGTCCTCCCCTGGTACATAGTTACATTGCTGTATCTTGGACCATTGTAACAATGTATATACCATACCTGCGGGATCCCTTTAGAAGCTGAAAAAAAAAAATATTACTGTAGTAGACATCGCTACTACACAGATACTACACCTCTACTCTAGTGATCTCCAGCAGCTTCCAGGCCTATTGCCTAGCGAATGCCCTGCATCATTCTAACCAGGGAAGGTTGGCCGCTTGGCTTGGGCGCCATTCTGGTAGCACTTTGCATTTTCTCCATGAGGTGGTCATCCAATCAGAGAATGCTTCTCATGCATTCAGAAAATGCAAAGCAGTCTTTGAATAGTGCCCTTGCCTAGCAGCCCAACTCCTGTGCTCACAACGCAGCAGGGCAGCTGCTTGTCACGGGACTCTGAAGCAAGTGGAGATAACTGTAGTAGCAATGTCTACCTATCATTGGTGTCAGTGGGAGGAAAAGTGCCCCATAATTAGCATCAGTGGTGGGAATACTGCCCCATCATTGGTGTCAGTGGAAAGAATAATGCCCCATCGTTGTTATAATTAGAAGAAATAGTACCCTATTGTTGGTATCAGTGGGGGAATATTGCCCATCATTGGTGTCAGTGGCAGGAATAGTGCCCTATCATTGGTGTCAGTGGCAGGAATAGTGCCCCATCATTGGTGTCAGTGAAAGGAATAGTGCCCCATCATTGGTATCAGTGGGAGGAATAGTGCCCCATCATTGGTACCAGTGGGAGGAATAGTGCCCCATCATTGGTGTCAGTGGGAGGAATAGTGCCCCATCATTGGTGTCAGTGGGAGGAATAGTGCCCCATCATTGGTGTCAGTGGGAGGAATAGTGTCCCATCATTGGTATCAGTGGGAGGAATAGTGCCCCATCATTGGTATCAGTGGGGGAGGAATAGTGCCCCATCATTGATATCAGTGGGAGGAATAGTGTCCCATCATTGGTGTCAGTGGGAGGAATAGTGTCCCATCATTGGTATCAGTGGGAGGAATAGTGCCCCATCATTGGTATCAGTGGGAGGAATAGTGCCCCATCATTGGTGTCAGTGGGAGGAATAGTGCCCCATCATTGGTGTCAGTGGTGGGGAGGAATAGTGTCCCATCATTGGTATCAGTGGGAGGAATAGTGTCCCATCATTGGTATCAGTGGGAGGAATAGTGCCCCATCATTGGTGTCAGTGGCAGGAATAGTGCCTCATCATTGGTATCAGAGAGAGGAATAGTACCCCATCATTGGTGTCAGTGGCAGGAACAGTGCCCCATCATTTGCAACATTGCCCCAACTAAAGAAGGGGACCCAGCAATTTTAATGCAAGGTCTATTTTAAAAACTACATTATATTAAATATATTATAGTTTTAATATCAATATTATTATTATCACACACTGTACTAATAATATTGTAATATTATATTATATAAACAATATTATTTTTTTTTACATTATAACAAGTATTATTATAATATATACAATATTATTATTATATTATTAGTACAATATTATTTTTTTTTATATTAGAACAATTATTATTATTATTTATATTACATTATTATATTATTATTTTTACATTACAACAATTATTATTATATTATATACAATATTATTTATTATTGTTATTATTATTATTATTATATTTTACATTAGAACAAATAATTATTATATTATATATATTTTTTGTACATTAGAACAATTATTATTATTATATGATATTATATTACAATTTTTTTTTTAATAGTATAACATTTATTATTTTCTATATGATATGATATGATATTACATTATAATAATTATTGCTATTTAATTTTAATAATTAAATTGGACATTATATTACATTATAACAATGCAGAGGACTGAGTAACTTACCGTTCTCCCGGCCTCGTTGTTGTGCCTGTTCATGGCGGATCGGGCGTCCGGTCTGTTCTCGCGGGCGTCGGCGAATTCCCGAGACACCATGCTGCCGAAATCCATGTCCTCGCTGCAGCCCCCCCACTTCCAGCCTTCCCCCGGGGGGCCCTTGTGATGGTTGTCGCAGCCGCAGATGGTGGCCGAGCCCTCCGCGCAGGCCCGGGTTACGGCAAATGCCACTCCGGCCGAGGCGATGGCGTGAACGAAGGCCGACTCCCTGGTGGCTGCGGAGATACAAATGATACGGATTAGATTCTTGGGCAACCATTTGTGTGAAAGTTCCATGTTTCTGGGTGCGTCCGGTGTGAGCTGTGAAACCTCTGCTGATGACTGTTCAGTATCATTAGTAGATTATGTAATCGTCGCTCTCATCATCGCACATTATAACCTCGCATTCTAGACATTTGCGTCATCCACCAAGATTACCGATTGCGTGCCACTTAAAGTGGATCTAGTATCGGGTATACAGTGAAGGAAATGCATATTTGCTCCCCGGCTGATGTTGAATGTTCGCCCCCTCACAAAGAAATGATCGGTCTAACAATGGAATGTTCGGTGTAACACTGAGAGACAGAATACAACAACAAATTCAGCAGAAATGCGTCTAACAAATGATGACGGATCTGCATGTTCATGAGGGAAATAAGGATTCGATCCCCTATCATTCAGCAGGATTTCTGGCTCCCAGGTGTCTTTCATACAGGTAACAAGCTGAGATTAGAAGCAGTCTCTTAAAGGGAGTGCTGCTAATCTCATTGTGTTACCTGTATAAAAGACACCTGTCCACAGGAGCAATCAAACCATCAGATTCCAAACTCTCCACCATGGCAAAGACCAAAGAGCTGTCCAAGGATGTCAGGGACAGGATTGTAGACCTACACAAGGCTGGACTGGGCTACCAAACTATGGCCAAGCAGCTTGGTGAGAAGGTGACAACAGTTGGTGCAATCATTCGCAAATGGAAGAAACACAAAACAATTGTCAGTCTCCCTAGGTCTGGTGCACCGTGCAAGATCTCCCCTCGTGGGGTGTCAATGATCATGAGAACAGTGAGGCATCATCCCAGAACTACACGTGAGGATCTTGTCAATGATCTCCGGCCAGCTGGGACCACAGTCACCAAGAATACAATTGGTAACACACTACGCCGACAAGGACTGAAATCCTGCAGTGCCCGCACGGTCCTCTGCTCAAGAAAGCCCATGTCCAGGCCCGCCTGAAGTTTGCCACTGAACATCTGAATGATGCAGAGGAGGACTGGTGGGAAGTGTTGTGGTTAGATGAGACCAACATTGAGCTCTTTGGCATCAACTCAACTCGCCGTGTTTGGAGGAGGAGGAATGCTGCCTATGACCCCAAGAACACCATCCCAACTGTGAAACATGGTGGTGGAAACATTCTGCTTTGGGGGTGTTTTTCTGCTAAGGGGACAGGACAACTGGACGGGGCAATGTACCAGCAAATCTTGGGTGAGAACCTTCTTCCCTCAGCCAGGGCATTGAAAATGGGTCGTGGATGGGTGTTCCAGCATGACAAGGACTCAAAACACACGGCCAAGGCAACAAAGAAGGGGCTCAGAGTGAGGGGTCAGGAGTATGTAACTTACAGAGTGAGGGGTCAGGAGTATGTAACTTACAGAGTGAGGGGTCAGGAGTATGTAACTTACAGAGTGAGGGGTCAGGAGTATGTAACTTACAGAGTGAGGGGTCAGGAGTATATACAGAGAGCAGTGTTAAAGAGTATGTAACATACAAAGTGCAAAGGTCAGGAGCATGTAAAATACATAGTTCATGGGTCAGGGGTATGTTTCGTACAGAGTGCATTATTTAGAAGTATACAGCAACATACAAAGTGAAAAAGTCAGCAGTATGTAGCCTACAGAGTACAGAGGTAGGTCAGGAACATGTACCATACAGAGTGTAGGGCTCAGGAGTAAATTATGTACAGAGTGCACAGTTCAGGAGTATGTAACTTACAGAATGCAGGGTTAAAGATTATGTAACATACAAAATGCAAATGTCAGGAGTATGTACCCTACAGAGTGCAGGTCTCAGGAGCATGTAACATACACAGGTCAGGTATCAGTACTATGTTCCGTACAGAGTGCAGGTCTCAGGAGCATGTAACATACACAGTGCAGGTCTCAGGAGTATGTAACATACACAGTGCAGGTCTCAGGAGTATGTAACATACACAGTGCAGGTCTCAGGAGTATGTAACATACACAGTGCAGGTCTCAGGAGCATGTAACATACACAGTGCAGGTCTCAGGAGTATGTAACATACACAGTGCAGGTCTCAGGAGCATGTAACATACACAGTGCAGGTCTCAGGAGCATGTAACATACACAGTGCAGGTCTCAGGAGTATGTAACATACACAGTGCAGGTCTCAGGAGCATGTAACATACACAGTGCAGGTCTCAGGAGCATGTAACATACACAGTGCAGGGGTCAGGACTATGTTCCGTACAGAGTGCAGGTCTCAGGAGCATGTAACATACACAGTGCAGGGTTCAGGAGTATGTTCCGTACAGAGTGCAGGTCTCAGGAGTATGTAACATACACAGTGCAGGTCTCAGGAGTATGTAACATACACAGTGCAGGTCTCAGGAGTATGTAACATACACAGTGCAGGTCTCAGGAGCATGTAACATACACAGTGCAGGTCTCAGGAGCATGTAACATACACAGTGCAGGGGTCAGGACTATGTTCCGTACAGAGTGCAGGTCTCAGGAGCATGTAACATACACAGTGCAGGTCTCAGGAGTATGTAACATACTGGCAGTGCAGGTCTCAGGAGCATGTACCATACACAGTGCAGGTCTCAGGAGTATGTAACATACACAGTGCAGGTCTCAGGAGCATGTAACATACACAGTGCAGGGGTCAGGACTATGTTCCGTACAGAGTGCATGGTTCAAGAGTATGTAATGTACAGAGTGCAGGGGTCAGGTGTGTCTATAGTAAAGCAGGAGTCAGCACTCTTCTGGCCTCCCATTAATCCCTATATTTCTGGCGTATGGCAGGCCACGCCCAACTCTACCAGCAACAAAGAGCCCCCTCCCCTCTCTAAACCTGTACCTGACATAGTACCAGGGCTGGATCTAGGGGGGTGCTGGGGTGGGCTGTGCCCCCCAGATTTCAGCCATGCCCCCCCAGGTGGGACATTACTGATGTGGACAGTCCATGTAAGGGGGCACTGTGATGGGGGCACCTGATGTCAAGGGGACCTCTGTTGGGGACCCTGATGTAAGGGGGCATTCTGATGGGGACCCTGTTGTAGGGGGGCACTATGATAGGGACCCTGATTTAGTTGGGCTCTATGATGGGGACCCTTATGTAGGGGGGGCACTATGATGGGGACCCTGATGTAAGGGGGATGGGGCACTATGATGGGGACCCTGATGCAAGGGGGCACTCTGAAGGGGACCCTGATATAAGGGGGCACTCTGATGGGGACCCTGGTTTAAGGGGGCACTCTGATGGGGTCCCTAATAAAAGGGGGCACTCTGATGGGGATCCTAATGTAAGGGGGACACTCTGATGGGGTCTCTGATGTAAGGGGGCACTCTGATGGGTTCCATAATGTAAGGGGGCACTCTAATGGGGTCTCTGATGTAAGGGGGCACTCTGATGGGGTCCCTAATGTAAGGGGCACTCTAAAGGGGTCTCTGATGTAAGGGGGCACTCTGATGGGGTCTCTGATGTAAGGGGGCACTCTGATGGGGTCTCTGATGTAAGGGGGCACTCTGATGTGGTCCCTAATGTAAGGTTGCACTCTGATGGGGTCCCTAATGTAAGAGGGCACTCTAAAGGGGTCTCTGATGTAAGGGGGCACTCTAATGGGGTCTCTGATGTAAGGGGGCACTCTGGTGTGGTCCCTAATGTAAGGTAGCACTCTGATGGGGTCCCTAATGTAAGAGGGCACTCTAATGGGGTCTCTGATGCAAGGGGGCACTCTGATGGGGTCCCTAATGTAAGAGGGCCTAGCAGCCACCTGACCACATCTCCAAAGACTGCAACTGTTTCCCCCCTTCCTCATAGAAACCTCAGCACTGCTGACTGAGAGTAAGAGGGACAATCACTGCAATTCATTTTTTTCACAATTTGATTGCCCTTCAGAGGGGTGAGGGTCTTCATAGGGCATATGTAGGCACTTGTTTAGTTTAACTATTACAGTGCTTTATTTAAAATTTTTGATCGCTTTTCAGAGGTATGAAGGTCTCTATAGCAGTGGCGTCCCTAGGCAGGTGCGGGGGGTGCGCGCTGCACCGGGTGACACCTACCGCACAGGGTGACACCGGACCCGACGATCCCCGCAGAATGGATCGGATCTGCGAAATGAGCATAATGGATCGGACTCCGAGCCATTATCCTCCCCAATCCGCAGATCCGATCCATCCTGCGGGGATCGTTGGCTTGCTTTACAACTTACCTTTTCGTGGAGCGGGTCCGGTGTCACCCCGTATAGGTTGCATGCCGACGATCCCCGCAGGATGGATCGGATCTGCGGATTGGGGAGCATAATGGATCAGAGTCCAGTCCATTATGCTCAATCCGCAGATCCGATCCATCCTGCGGGGATCGTCGGGTCCGGTGTCACCAAGTGTTATCGCAGCGGGTGACACCAACCCTAGGGACCCCCCTGCCCTATAGTGCTCACAGTATCAGGGGAGGACTGACCATTTGGAAACTTGGGGGGCAGTAGGGGGCCCCATGAGATGCCACTGGTACCTTTTTCATAGGCTTTTTTGAGTTTGGGCAAGGACACAGGGGCCCCATGATCCCCTATTGCCCGGGGGCCCCATGAGTTGTCAGTCCGCCCCTGCTCAGCACATAAGCTCTGTAGCACGGATTGCTTCCTTCTTTCCCAGTCTGAGCTCTGCTGCACATACTGATACTGAGTCACATTCATTCGGTATGTAGAATAAATACATTAAGGTTCAGTTTGCACTCCATGCGTGCCCAGGGGCGAACTGACCATTAGAGCACTCGGGCACTGCCCGAGGGCCCAGGGTCAGTAGGGGGCCCCATGAGATGCCCCTGGTACCTTTCAGAGGCTTTTTTGGGTGTGGTTTGAGTGTGGGCAAGGACACAGGGGCCCCATGATCCCCTATTGCCCGGGGGCCCCATGAGTTGTCAATCCGCCCCTGCGCAGTATCCCTCTGAATCATTGCAGATGGGGACCTGCTCCTGACCCGATAGGGCCTGGGCCCAGTACAGGAGGGCAGCCTCTACCCCCTGGATGATGTCAATGATACTTTTACAATGTAATATCTGGG